ACCTTATTACGCCAAGGTCTTCAATTATTTCAATAATAAAAATATTTTTTAATCCAGGACCGACTTTTCCGTCGAATCTAACAGAGATAGCACCATTCCGTCTTGCTTGGTTCTCGACCGCCAAATCAAAGGGGCCGACACGGAGTTGTGGAGCTGTATTGTATAAGCTGTGGTATAGCGACATTGTCTACAGGTCAGGATCTATTGATTTGGATCGTACACTGCAAAAGCGGTGTTGCTTATTTGTCAAATTTCTGCTTATTTATCGGCCTTACTTGCCACATATTCATGCGGTACGGTGTTGCGAGATCTACTCTACAAATTTTCCTAGATCTGAGGAAAAACCACTAAAGTGTACTCAAATAGTTTACTATCTACCATTGCGTATGTCTGACAAACGAGATACGCTTCCTTTTTCCTTCTTAGTCTAAAATTAAACACCTACAAAATGGATTTGACAACTAAAATAAGAGTGAAAAAAATTAAAAAGTAAAAAAAAACAATCGTTTTCTTGGTAAATTTATTTCACAAAAGCAACTAATAATTAAAGAACATCTAATACACAAACACATAATTAAACTTTTCCATGGATAAAAAAAATATGTTTAATTCCGTGAATGAAATCATACAAAAGAAATGGATCCAACAAATTAACCGCCAAAGCTACTATTACTTTTCATTTGTTTAAAGTATAAACTGACTTTTGCATACCAGGCCAGCGTTACCAGAGGGGTGCCATCAAGCAATTTAGATTCCATGCTAAGTTTGTACAAACCTGGTGGCATACGCTTTGGATAGTACTTACTCTCTAGGGGCCAACAGTTGTCTAGATGCCACAAACCCTAAAATTTAATTTTATCTTTACCTCAGTAAAATATATTAAACAAATGTGGAATGAGCTCAACAAATTGAACATAAAAATAAACCAAAGGAAATACCTAGTAATTGCAAACTTTGGTTTGCGGCACTTTTGCAATTTTTTTGTCTGTGATAACAAAGATAACATAGATATAAGCAGTCACTGCTAAAATATAATATTCACGGTGCCAACAACAGTTCGCAATGTATACATTCTATTTCTAGACGCGGGGCGAGGCGACGAAAGGTGAGAAGTAAGAAAAGGGATAGAGAGAAGAATTTTACGTAGTTTTATCAATGAATAACTGCGCGCGCTTATACTACATAACGTAAATTTCCATGTCGGTGTAAGCCCTGTTGCCACTTCCAATCTAACATCACTAGGTTTTGGAATTTGTTGAAAATTATTACATCTAATAATAATAATAATAATAATAATAATAATAATAATAATAATAATAATAATAATAATAATAATAATAATAATAATAATAATAATAATAATAATAATAATAATAATAATAATAATAATAATAATAATAATAATAATAATAATAATAATAATAATAATAATAATAATAATAATAATAATAATAATAATAATAATAATAATAATAATAATAATAATAATAATAATAATAATAATAATAATAATAATAATAATAATAATAATAATAATAATAATAATAATAATAATAATAATAATAATAATAATAATAATAATAATAATAATAATAATAATAATAATAATAATAATAATAATAATAATAATAATAATAATAATAATAATAATAATAATAATAATAATAATAATAATAATAATAATAATAATAATAATAATAATAATAATAATAATAATAATAATAATAATAATAATAATAATAATAATAATAATAATAATAATAATAATAATAATAATAATAATAATAATAATAATAATAATAATAATAATAATAATAATAATAATAATAATAATAATAATAATAATAATAATAATAATAATAATAATAATAATAATAATAATAATAATAATAATAATAATAATAATAATAATAATAATAATAATAATAATAATAATAATAATAATAATAATAATAATAATAATAATAATAATAATAATAATAATAATAATAATAATAATAATAATAATAATAATAATAATAATAATAATAATAATAATAATAATAATAATAATAATAATAATAATAATAATAATAATAATAATAATAATAATAATAATAATAATAATAATAATAATAATAATAATAATAATAATAATAATAATAATAATAATAATAATAATAATAATAATAATAATAATAATAATAATAATAATAATAATAATAATAATAATAATAATAATAATAATAATAATAATAATAATAATAATAATAATAATAATAATAATAATAATAATAATAATAATAATAATAATAATAATAATAATAATAATAATAATAATAATAATAATAATAATAATAATAATAATAATAATAATAATAATAATAATAATAATAATAATAATAATAATAATAATAATAATAATAATAATAATAATAATAATAATAATAATAATAATAATAATAATAATAATAATAATAATAATAATAATAATAATAATAATAATAATAATAATAATAATAATAATAATAATAATAATAATAATAATAATAATAATAATAATAATAATAATAATAATAATAATAATAATAATAATAATAATAATAATAATAATAATAATAATAATAATAATAATAATAATAATAATAATAATAATAATAATAATAATAATAATAATAATAATAATAATAATAATAATAATAATAATAATAATAATAATAATAATAATAATAATAATAATAATAATAATAATAATAATAATAATAATAATAATAATAATAATAATAATAATAATAATAATAATAATAATAATAATAATAATAATAATAATAATAATAATAATAATAATAATAATAATAATAATAATAATAATAATAATAATAATATAATAATAATAATAATAATAATAATAATAATAATAATAATAATAATAATAATAATAATAATAATAATAATAATAATAATAATAATAATAATAATAATAATAATAATAATAATAATAATAATAATAATAATAATAATAATAATAATAATAATAATAATAATAATAATAATAATAATAATAATAATAATAATAATAATAATAATAATAATAATAATAATAATAATAATAATAATAATAATAATAATAATAATAATAATAATAATAATAATAATAATAATAATAATAATAATAATAATAATAATAATAATAATAATAATAATAATAATAATAATAATAATAATAATAATAATATAATAATAATAATAATAATAATAATAATAATAATAATAATAATAATAATAATAATAATAATAATAATAATAATAATAATAATAATAATAATAATAATAATAATAATAATAATAATAATAATAATAATAATAATAATAATAATAATAATAATAATAATAATAATAATAATAATAATAATAATAATAATAATAATAATAATAATAATAATAATAATAATAATAATAATAATAATAATAATAATAATAATAATAATAATAATAATAATAATAATAATAATAATAATAATAATAATAATAATAATAATAATAATAATAATAATAATAATAATAATAATAATAATAATAATAATAATAATAATAATAATAATAATAATAATAATAATAATAATAATAATAATAATAATAATAATAATAATAATAATAATAATAATAATAATAATAATAATAATAATAATAATAATAATAATAATAATAATAATAATAATAATAATAATAATAATAATAATAATAATAATAATAATAATAATAATAATAATAATAATAATAATAATAATAATAATAATAATAATAATAATAATAATAATAATAATAATAATAATAATAATAATAATAATAATAATAATAATAATAATAATAATAATAATAATAATAATAATAATATTAATAATAATAATATAATATTTATTTACCACATTACATACAATTGTACATTTGAGGTGAATACAGTGTTAAAAAAATAAAATATTAAAAATATGAATTTAAACTAGCAATAGCTAGATGGTCTACAATAGAGCTGTAAAAGTAACGAGAAAACCAATACCCGTATGTATTCGTTACTTCAGATCTGACTACCCGTATAAAAATATTCGTTACTCGTTACTTTCGTTACTGTGATGGGAATCTACAGAACATGCGGTGCATGGGCCTCGCACACGTCAAATGCGGATGCGGAATTGGTGTCTAACTAATCGTACGTACGCATTGGTTCGGTTGTTAGGTTGGTACTGTCTAACAGGGGGTGCAGATGAGATTAGATATCGAATCGTTGGTTAATTAAATACGTAGCGAATTTGTAATTAGTAACAAAGTCGTGTAGTTCACTGAGCATGAGCAATGACGTAAAGTTTTGCAAAATAAAATATCGTCAGACAGAAACATATATATTTTTCTAACACACTAGTAGAAACAATAATAATACTCCATAAAATCATAACTTAAATAAACAAAAACATATTATATTCTTGCAACACGCTAACAGAAAAACAACTATTATACTATTCTATAAAACCAAAATAAGTCCCAGTCGGCGTGCGACTTGATAGTCGATAGATCGATTCGCATCAGACTCACACTCGCATTTCGCATCTTGCACACCAAACCGGTATATTTGTGCGATATGCGACGATGCGGATTCGAGTAACGAAGTAACGAAATTTAAAATGCAGTAACGAATTCGTATTTCGTATCTGACCGACTACCCGTTACTGAGTAACGAATACATACGGTTTGCCACAGCTCTAGTCTACAATACAGAAAATACAAAAAAATACAAAAAATACAAAAAATACAAAAAATACAAAAAATACAAAAAATACAAAAAATACAAAAAATACAAAAAATACAAAAAATACAAAAAATACAAAAAATACAAAAAATACAAAAAATACAAAAAATACAAAAAATACAAAAAATACAAAAAATACAAAAAATACAAAAAATACAAAAAATACAAAAAATACAAAAAATACAAAAAATACAAAAAATACAAAAAATACAAAAAATACAAAAAATACAAAAAATACAAAAAATACAAAAAATACAAAAAATACAAAAAATACAAAAAATACAAAAAATACAAAAAAGACAAAAAATACAAAAAATACAAAAAATACAAAAAATACAAAAAATACAAAAAATACAAAAAATACAAAAAATACAAAAAATACAAAAAATACAAAAAATACAAAAAATACAAAAAATACAAAAAATACAAAAAATACAAAAAATACAAAAAATACAAAAAATACAAAAAATACAAAAAATACAAAAAATACAAAAAATACAAAAAATACAAAAAATACAAAAAATACAAAAAATACAAAAAATACAAAAAATACAAAAAATACAAAAAATACAAAAAATACAAAAAATACAAAAAATACAAAAAATACAAAAAATACAAAAAATACAAAAAATACAAAAAATACAAAAAATACAAAAAATACAAAAAATACAAAAAATACAAAAAATACAAAAAATACAAAAAATACAAAAAATACAAAAAATACAAAAAATACAAAAAATACAAAAAATACAAAAAATACAAAAAATACAAAAAATACAAAAAATACAAAAAATACAAAAAATACAAAAAATACAAAAAATACAAAAAATACAAAAAATACAAAAAATACAAAAAATACAAAAAATACAAAAAATACAAAAAATACAAAAAATACAAAAAATACAAAAAAATACAAAAAATACAAAAAATACAAAAAATACAAAAAATACAAAAAATACAAAAAATACAAAAAATACAAAAAATACAAAAAATACAAAAAATACAAAAAATACAAAAAATACAAAAAATACAAAAAATACAAAAAATACAAAAAATACAAAAAAT